AAAAAAAAAAAAAAAAGCAGCAAAGTCAAAGCTGTTTAAATAAATATAAATCCCGCAGCTCCGCGGGAGCGGAGGGGACGAGCGGTGACATTTGCTTCCAGCCTGGGTTCGGGTTGCGGGATTTGGATGGGCTTGGCTTTGCTGGATCGGTTAATTTTTTTTTAAATCAATTTTTTTCCCCCCCCCCCCCCCCCCTTTCCCCCCCCCCCCCGCTGCCGCGCCGCCCCTGTGTTTTTTTTAATAAAAAAAAAAACCTATTAAAAAAAAAGGGGGGGGGGGGGGGGGGGGAGGAAAAAAAGGGGGTAAAAAAAGAAGTAAGGGAAGTTTCTATGACAATAAAAAAGGCTACAACTGTTTGACAGGTAGTTACTGCTGTGTGAGCCTCTCCATTCTATACTCTATAAAAGCAAATGACCGTCGTAAACATCTCGATTTATCATCTGCCATAAAACGAGACTTCAAGGGGCTGAGAACTCAGTCCTTGCTTTCTTCTTTTTCCTCCTCTTCTTTTTCCTCTTCTTCGTTCCCTTCTTCTTCCGTTTTCTCCTCGTCCCTGGCCCCCGGCAGCTTATCTTTATTGTTTTCTTTTTTCCACTTCATCCTCCTGTTCTGGAACCAGATCTTCACTTGTCTCTCGGTCAGTCCCAGGGCGTGAGAGACCTCAATCCGCCGCTTCCGTGTCAAATACGGGTTGAAGAGGAACTCCTTTTCTAACTCCAGGGTCTGGTACCGGCTGTAAGTTTGTCTGCCACTGCGTCTTCCGGGAGCTGTAGGACACAAACATCAAATAACTTCTTAATTCTCCCGCTTCCGAGGCTCCGCTCTCCCCCCCCCTTCCCTTCCCCAGCCCCCCTCACCTCAATTTTCCTAAAGAAGCTGCTGCCTCCCTCCATCCCCCCCCCCCCCCCCAAAAAAAAAAAAAAAAAACCAAAAAAAAGCCCCTTTCACCCCTTGGCGTTATTAAAGGTGCTAAAAGGGAACTCGCTGGGTTATTATTTTAATAATCCGAGGGCCGATATTGCTGCTAACGCTGCTGCTGCCCTGCCCTGGCTCGTCCTGGGGAGGGCTCAGCCCTGGCTGGAGGGAGGTGGGTGTCAAGCTCATGCACAAAAGAGACCTTCCAGCTTCCCCAAAAGGTGATTCTGGATGGTGAGACCTGCTGGGCAGCTCCATTTTAGAGGACAAAAAAAATATATTCATTTTCCTGTGAAAGGTGCATTGTTCACCATAAAATCCTCTTCAGCCTTTCTGCTTCTCCCCATTCCTTTATCTCTCTTTCTTTCTTCCTTTTCTGTTTCTGCCTTTCTTCCTTTTCTCTTTCTGTCTTTCTTTTCTCTTTCTGTCTTTCTTCTTTTTCTCTTCCATTCTTTCTCTCTTTCTTTCTTTCTCTCTTTCTTTCTCTCTTTCTTTCTCTTTCTTTTTTTCTCTCTCTCTCTTTCTTTTTTTTTTTTTCCCCTCTCTTTCCCCTCTCTTCCTTTCTCTCTTCCTTTTCCCCCTCAAAACACCCAACTCTCCTCTGCTCCTCCAGATATCCTTCCCCAAAAACACAGGCTCGGGGCTCTCCCATTTCCTGATATTCACGCCCTGAGGATCTGAATTTTCCCTGAATTTTCCCTGAACCCCCCCCCCCCCGTCCTCTCGGTCAGGGCTGCGCGTCTGTAACACGCAGACAGCGAGACGGAGATTTGCCTGTGCAAACACAGAGATTGTCTTTAAAACAACTCGAGATGGACGTTTGCAGCAATAGCCAAAAAAAAAAAAAAAAAGAGAGAGAGAGAGAGAAAGAAAGAAAAGACAGAGGGCTGAGGTATGTGCAGCTGAGCCCCTGCACTTCCTTCTGCACCTAATGAGAAAAACAATCTATTTGTGGGGGGAAAAAAAGAGCTCCAGTTTGAAATGATTGCATCCTTGAGACTACCTCTAGGTCAAAGCTTAGATAAATAACGTGTTTTCCTCTGCGTCTCTCTCCCAGCCCCTGGGCCACATCCTCCCTCCGTCAGCCACAACTCCTTTCTATTTCTCCTTTTTTTTTTTTTGGGGGGGGGGGGGGGTTTTTTTTTTTTTTTTTTTTTTTTTTGTGGTCGTTATTTTTTGCTGGGGGTAAAAGAGGTGGGGGTGGGGGCGGGAGGAAAACTTTGGGGCTCCGATTGTCCTTAAAATTCACACTAACCTTCACATGTTTTGAATTAACAAGGCTTCGAGACAACCTTGGTCCTTAGATGGGGGGGGGGGGGGGGAGAAACTTGTACTTTGAAGTATTTCGGTTTCTGTGCAATTATCTGGACTTCACATGAGCAAAGTTCCATTCAGCACAAATTATTTTGAATTTCCCACCCCCCCTTCTTTTTTTTTCCACCCCCCCCTTTCCTTTAAACCCACAACAGCAGCCTGTCCTCCTCCACCCCACCCCATAGCTCCGAGCTAAGTTTCCTTTATGCTTAAACTTTTATCTCTAGGCTTTAAGAAACAGATGTAAAGTATTAGCAATACTTAGACAAGTTCCCACCTTTCAGGCTTCGTCTCCAAGCGGTTATGAAAGGCTCTATGACATTTTAAAGAGCGGTGTATTATCAACATGCAAACAACCTCGTGGGAGCTGTATCTTATTGCCTATCCTCAAGGCAAGCAATAAAAAAACAAGTTTTACTTTATTGTGATTTAAGCCTTTTGCAGGGAATCACCTTGCTGGCTCTCTAGTAACTGCTGGCTTGTTTGCTTTCAAAGGTCTTCCTAAAAAGAAGAAACATTAGCACAAAACTGCTCATTTCTTTTCGTATTTCCCAGCTACGCCTCTTATATTTATATTTTTTTTCAGGCATATATATATATATATATATATGTATGCATAAGTGTGTCTGGGCATGTTTATACAGCTAAGGCATGTTTGTGCTTGGCTATGCATACATATACATACAGACAGACAGACAGACAGAGCAGACAGGCAGAGAGAGAGAGAAAGAGAGAGAGAAAGAGAGAAAAAAATAAAGGAAAACATTTAAGGAGGAGGAAAAAAAGGTCCTAACCGTGAGGTCTCATCCATGGGAACATGAGACTGGGAGACGAATTTTGATTTAAATGCCCTTGTCCCTCGCTAGAGTTACTGTTGGAAGACGATTTACAGTCAGGATATTGTACAACAGTCGTCTCTTGCTGAGCACCATAAAGCGATTGCCTCGGTAGAGCTTCATATCCATAGAATTTAGAAGCGTCTCCGTGACACGCCAAGGCGCATGGGTTTTGCTGGTATCCAGAGTTGGAGATGCTGGAGGTTCCGTGGTGGAAAAACTCTTGGACGTGGTGTGAAGGGTGCTGGAAGGTGGGAGCTGTGGTGCCCGGACCATAGACCAGAGCATGGCTCCTGCTAACACTTTGTGGAAATCTGCAGTCGTAGTAAGTTGGCTCCAGCGATTCACCGCCTTTGTACTTGGAAAAGAGAGGATTTACAAAGTAGGAACTCATGACCCCCCTCGCATGCAAAAAAAAAAAAAAAAAAAAAAAAAAAAAAAAAAAAAAAAAA